TCCTAAACTTAGACTGTGAACTTACACACAGTTCCCTTTTAGGGGAAATATGATGTGATATGAAATAAAGTATTACAATTAGTTTAGGACCACATAGAAGTGTTTTAAAAAGCCTTTTTGTAACAACCATGTGCCTCAGTCTACTCAATTCCTGCCTCTTTCCATAATGAGAATGAGGTTTATGAATCTCTGAATGTGAAGAAAATTAATGATATATAAAGAGCTCTGAAACCTGATTAAAATAGTATTTGACAGCACAGTAGTGTACTGATATTAAGAACCATACCTGGAACTTTCAGCAATAGAAAGAAGTAGTTGGATTGTGGCAGCCAGCATTTTGTTGTTGTTAAAACATTCATTTAATACAAAACTCTAGTTAAATTTTCCTGTGTGAAAACTGTTCAAAGATCCAAAATTGGATTTTTTTCCAACAGCATCAGGTTTCACTTTCTCATCCTTAGAAGCCTCAAGGTGCCAACTCTTACCCCTGCTCCTTGAACCAGCACACATGAAGCTTGTGTCAAATTGGATCTGTCTTCAAAGCTGGCCTGCTCTGAGTGGAGGCATGGGTCAGATGGCCTCCAAAGATCCCTTCCACCATACATTCATTCTGTTTCACAGCTTAGTTCTATAGAGGGCAATTCCTCTTTAGAGGATAAGAGAATAAAAGGTACCTATCAGGTTGCTGCAAAACATAAATGCAATTCCTTGAAGCTTTTCAAACATTGGAAATACTCCTTAGTGAGCAGAAGTCAAATGAGAGTTCAAAAGGATTGATACAATTTACCATACAGTTTTCATGACTGTTTAGTGTAATGATTTATACACTACATAAACAACTACTTAAATAAGATTAAATTTGCTTAAGGGTGACATTTGCTAAATGCAAACCCTAAAATGAACGGATGTGCTCTTCAATTGTAGCAAAAGACAATTTGTTTATCGGTAGGAACAGGCAGAATAGTCATTCCACAGTCATGAAAAAAAATCTAGTTGAGAAACTGCAAAATAATCTGATTTAGGTTTGCAGATTAAGCGTACACAGTGTTTATGATGTACATGAGTTTACATGGCAGCCTGAAGTTATCATTGCTGATTTAGACCTCATATTTCCTTGCATTTAAGACTAGTGCCAAATGTACATTTCTTTAAGAAAACAAACCTGTGAGGAGTGAAAGTGAGGCATGGCAAGGAAGGCACGGCAAGGAAGGCAAGGCAAGGAGTACCTTTCTGTTTCCCTCCACCGTGTGGGATCATATAGAGGATATGTTTGTGTGGAGAGGTAAGACTGAGGGCAAGGTTTGGGAGCAAAAAGATGCCTTGTTTATGAGGGAGTGAGAGCCCAGCAGATCTTCTCAGTATCCCCCAAATGGGACATTTTGTGGAAGCTGGAGGAAGCTTATCTGGCCCACTGGGCCAGAATGTCTGGGTGGCATTTTGGCAGCTATAGATGCCAGCCCTTGCTCCGAGAAGTCTTTTCCATGGGCCCCTTCAGCATCCACAGAGCTTCACAACAAAGTCCTGCTGCTGTCTCTAACTGAAGAGCACTATGAGGCCTTTCCTTTCTTCCACTGGAAATTAAAAAGCCCCATTTGGTAATGTAAAGAGCTCCAGTTACACATTTCAAACACCTCAGACTCATGGTTTCAGGGAGGCAAGAAACTCCAGAAAAAATACCATTTAACCTATCAGGAAGCACAGAGGAGCCAGGAGAGGACAAGGTCACTTGTTGCACTCGCTGCTGGCTTTTCCAACTCTTATTACTGAGCCCGACCTCAGCACTTAGGTTTGAGCCATCCTGTAGTATAGATACAATAACTATGATATGGCAGATGAGATTATTTTCCTCTTTGTTGAGATGAGATCCTGGCTCTGTGACAGGTAGAACCTAGGTCCAGAGGAATACCTCCTGGCTGTGCCTGTGTGCGTGCCATAAACAGTAGGCAGCACTTCCCTTCCAGAGCAGGACTTCAAGCACTCTTGATAGTGTATATTCCCAGTAATAAGTGCACACTGCTTTCCCCTTTGGGTAGCATTTCTATGCTGCAGTTAACTAACAGTTACCCCTGCAGCTCAGGTGACCATGGACTTCAGCTAGGGATTGGAGGGGGTGGGTGGGAAGAATTCAAATTCCTCTTCTGACATTGCCAGGGTGCATTCATGACCACCACTGGTGAAGGAGAGTAGAGAGTAAGAGTTAAAGATGGTTTTAGGACAAGTTGCTTAAATCAGTATGACCTGGGATTTAAGTTGAATTGATTTTGTTTTATACAGAGTCTAAGGTTGCCTTTCAAACAGAAAGGAGATAAAGGTGATTGCAGATTTGAATGCACTGCAGCTGGCAGAAAGCTATTTGCATCTGTTGCACAAAGAACAAAGGAGTCTTGTTAAAAGCATCTTATTAAATTCCAAATAATAGCTTTCTGGTGGAAAGCAAGAAAAGAAAAGTTCTAAGAGGACTGAAGTAGGTTATGGCAACAAACAAAAAAAGACATCTATAAATACAACACCAAGAAAAGAAAAAACAAAGCAGAATTAAATGTGAGAGTCTGAAAGTTAAAAAGTGTAGTAGACCTGACGTAGGCAGGATATAGCTCCAGAAATATGTTTGAAATGAGAATGTAGGTTAGAAGCTAGCATTACACAGTAAGAACAGAAAGACGTTGTGGGATCAGACAGGAACCAAGCAGTGCCTTACGAGTCATGGAAAATTAAGGAGCAGCTGTAGTTATAGGCAACTGAGTCTATAATTACAAGGGCTTTCAAAACAAGAAGCCCCTGCAGGACTCAAACAGGGTTTGAAAAGGCAAAGCAACAAGAAGAGCAAAATCTTCCCTGGGGAAGGAAGAAGTTGCAAATTACACCGTGTGTCACTGACAATTTCAGTAAGTAGTACGAAAACTTCAGGAAATGACACCAGTTCTGGTATTTTTGCCAGAAATCATACAACCTGATCTATGGGATACACCATACATCATGCATCCCATATGGAGGACTGCTAGACTCAGCTCTCACCCATCACAGACACATCCTCTCTGAAAGAAAAATGCTCAACCTGAGAAGTTAAACATTTGTGAATTTTATCATATCTGTAAGGATCATCCCCAATAAAGAGATGTACTACCTAAAGAAACTGCCCAGACTCTTCATTATGTTTTGCAATGGTTAACCTACAAACATAGTCAGCAGAAAACAAAATCAAAACCAAAACCAAAACCAAAAATAAAAAACGACAAACAAAAAAAAACACATGCCTTCAATACTGTTAATGTAACTTCTGAAGAACATCATCAAGCAGCAAAAATACATGTATTTAGTAGCTATATAGATTTTGCGTGGGCAGACAGTGATGAACCAGTTAGACATCAGGACTTCAGTAATGATAAGCATCTCTCTTCAGGAAGAAAGAATATTATTTAGGATAGTAAAGAATACATGATTTTTGCAGTAAGTTATGACTATACAGTGACACATGGTCTTTCATAAGTGGTACAGTTTCCAAGATTGGAGTTTGAAAAGGCATTTGAGAATACTATTAATGGCATTACAGAAAAGAATCTTGCAAAGAGACGTATTTTTTCCAGTCCTTACAGGTTTTCTAAATCTATTCCCTATTAAAAAATCATCAAAATACATATTGGTTTGGACTCCTTAAAGTTAAGGTGTCTGTCATTCTTAACCTGTGATGTCAACACCTCTGACAGTTGCATAAATAGG